GGGGGTGGGAGGGGTGAGCGCCCCTCTATGGGTAAGAGACCCCAAAAAGTAATAGGACCCCTAAAGTATAGAGAAAATAGGTGGAAATATAGAAAAAGGACCTCAACGTGTAGGGAAGGGATTGAAAATGTAAAAACGGGGGGTGAAAATAGAGAAAGGTGTGCGAAAATACAGAGAAGGGACCCGGAAATACAGGAAAATGGACTCAAATTAGGGAAATAATGGACCAAATATGTAGGAAAAGGGACAACAAATGTTGAAAAGAGACCCGAAAATGTGGAAAAGGGACCCAAAAAGGTACAAAAAGTGACTCCTCAGTGTCATAAAAAGGATCCCAAATGTATGAAAAGGGATCCCGAATTGTAGGGACGTCCCAGATGGGTTTGGACAGTGGTGAAGTGTGGATGGAATACAGCAAACTGCATCAAAATGAGGATGGATGCACCAAAATGGACAGAAATTGACCCCAGAGTGACAGGAACAGCCCTAAATAAATATGGATTTCCTGAAAACAGACTGGAATACTCCAAAATAGAGGCAAAAATCCTCAGACATGCAAATGCTCTCAAAAAAAACCCCAACCAAAACAAACCCCAGAAGGATCCCCCAAATAGAGAAATGTCCCCAAAACAGACAGGAGCGTCCCCCCAAAAAAGATCTGAATGCCCCTAAATCAGACACAAGCACGCCCAAAACAGACACCCCCCAAATCAGAGGCAAACTGGCACAAAACAGACGTAGCTGATCCCCAAATGGACACAAGGATCCCCAAAACTGGCATGAATGCCCCTTCACACCTTCAAAATGAGCACGAGAGCGGCTGAAACAGGCACAGACCCCAAAACACCCCCCAGAATTGTACACGTGTGTCCCCAAAAGCAGATGGGAACACCCCCGAACTGCATTGCCTCCGCATGCGCTGGGCTCTGCGCTCCAAACCAGCTCGACCAGTTTGGGGCCATGGAATGGGATTGGGATCGGGTTGCTGTGGGTCATGGCGGGTGGATGCGTGCCGGACATGGGGACGGAGGTGGGAGCAGAGGGTCTGTTCCTATTTCTTTTTGGGGGAATGAGCCCCCTTCCCAAGCCCCCCTGCAAGAGGGGCAATGCTGGGAGATGGGATGGGGTCAGGTGCTGGTGGCTGTGGCACCCCAAAATGGTCCCCAAGAGCCCAAGGTGGTCCCTAAGGAAGGAGGTTTCTTGGATGACCCAGAGACATGAAATCATCCTCAAGAGCATGGCGTGGTCTCCAAGACGTGGGTTGGTCCCCAAAAACTGAGTTGATCCTCAAGAATTGGGTTGGTCCTCAAAACCTGGCATGGTCCCCGAAAACTGGGTTGGTTCTCAAGAGCCTGGGATTGGTTTCCAAGATTTGAGTTGGTTCCCTAAGACCTGGGTTTGTTCCCAAGAGCCTGGGCTTGTCCCCAAGACCTGGGTTGGTCCTCAAGAGCCAAGGATGGCCCCAAGTCCTGGGATGGTGCCCAATGAAGGAGGTATCTTGGATGGTCCCCAAGGGCCTGACATGGTCCCCAAGACCTGGAATGGTCCCAAAGATCCTGAAATGGTCCCTAAGAGCCTGGAACGTTCTTCAAGAACCTTGGGTGGTCCTCAAAAACTGGGATGGTCCCCAAAAGCCTGGAGCAGTCCCCAGGATCCCAGGATGGTACCCAAGGAGGGAGGTAACAATGGATGGTCCCCAGGAGCTTGGCACGGTCCCCAAGACTTGGGTTGGTCCCCAAGGCCTGGGATAGTTCCCTTAGACCCAAGAAGCCCAAGAGGGGCACCACGGGTGGTCCTCAAGAGACCAAGATGAACCCCAAGCAGGGAAGCATCCTGGGGTGGTTCTCGAGACCTGAGACCAAGATCTGGAATGGTCCCCAGGATCTAAGAGGGTCCCCATGAAGGGCATCTCCCTGGAATGTTCCCCAGGCTCTGGAATAGTCCCCAGGAGATGGTAGTGTGATTCAAGGGGCACATAGGGTTGTCCAGGCTTCAAAACCATCCATAGAGGGGACTTGTTCCATCCCGAACGTGGTGTGGGACCCCTCGGCACCAGTCTCAGTGTTATTTGTATTTTGATGCCATCGGGGTCTGCCTGAAGTTTCTTGGAGGCCTCAACCTGGCGTAAACCGAGCGGAGCAAATGGGCCTTCTTTAAAAATTTACACCGTCTCCTTTTTGTTCCTAACCCGAATATGAAATGTGCAAGGAGCTGGGGGGCCGGGCAGGGCCGCCCCATTGGCGCTGGGATGATTGGGGCAGGAGCTCAGCCTGGGTTGTGTTTGTTTCCGAGGTTTCTCGTTTGTGCTCAGATGGGGATGGAAAAGATAATGCAATATTGATGCGAGAGCGTAACCCGAGTACATTATCCGTGGTGCCAGCACGTTTTTATGGCTGTGGTGAGGTTGGCTCTGGTAAAGCCCGTGAGATTCCCTATGAAAATATGGGGTGGGACTTTGGAGAGGGGTAGAAGGAGGTGGTGGGCATCACAGTGAGATGGGTTATGTAGGGTCAGCCATTGAGAACACCTCTAAAACCCTATGGGGATGGCACCCAAAGCTCCATAGAGGACAGCCAAAACCCAACGGTCATGGCACCATAGGGAAGAAAGCCCAGACTCCAGGTGCTGGCACCCAAAGCTCCAATGGAGAAAGCGCCCAAAACCTCATGGAGGTGGAATCCAAAGTACCCAAAACCCCATTGGGTATGGCACTCAAAGCTCCATGGGGAGGACAACCAGAATCCTATGGGTGTAGCTCCCAGAACTCTGTGGAGAATGCATCCCAAACACCACAGGGGAGGCAATAGGGTTGGGTTACTCACAGCTTTGGAAATTTGGGGTGGGTGAGGGGATTGGGGCAAAGCTGCTGAGCTCAGCTTCACCTGATGGTGAGCCCGGAGAAAATGAGGAAGAAAAATGCTCCCCAAAATGGGAAAAAGATCTGAAAACCAAGGATCAAAGGAGAAAAAAATGGGTCAGAATCCCCAGTGATGGGGTCAGGCACAGCCGTTCCCCGCCAGAGCATCATGCATTAGTAATGGCCACCGATCCGCCGGCGCTGACGGCATTTCTTCCAGAGGGAGGAACAATTGGGGCCGTAACCAGAGCCAGCATGGGGCAGGTGGAGGGGCTCAGGTGTCCCCCGCAGCCCTTGGGGTCACCTGTCTCGATGCTCACGTGGAGATGCACATCCCTGGGTCGGCAGTGTGGGTATTGCTGCTGGGGGGTGGCATCCGGATGGGTGTGAGGTCCTTTGGGTGCTTTTGGGATGGGGAGAGTTTCTGGGTGCTCGTGGAGGTGTGAGAGTCCAGAATCTGCTGTGACGTGGGGGACAAAGTGGGGAGGAGTGGTACCCAGAGCCCATGGCACATGTGTCAGATGGGGATGGTACCTAGAGACCCGTAGGGATGGAACCAACATCGTATGGGGAAAGATCCCAAAGTCCTGTGAGATGGCACCCAGAGCCTCCATAAGAAAAGACACCTGAAACCCCATGGAAATGGCACCCAGAGTTCCATAGGGAAGAAACCCCAGACTCCATGGTGCTGCCACCCAAAGCTCCATGGAGAAGTGACCCCAAACCCCGTGGGGATGGCATCCAGAGCCAAAAAGAAGACCCCAGTGTTCATGGCACACAAAGCTCTATGGAGAAGACAACCAAAACCCCATGGAGATGACATCAAACAGAAGATAACCCAAACTCCACTGGGCACGGCACCCAAAGCTCCATGGAGAAGACAACCAAAACCCCACAGGTGTAACACCTACAACTTCATGAAGACCTTTAAAGCCCCACGGGGGTGGCAGCCAGAAACTCCATGGAAGAGGCACCCGAAATCCCATGGGGATGTCATTCAGAGCCCTATGGAAAAGACCCTCCAAAGCACCATGGGGATGGCACCCAGATCCCCGTGGAGGAAGCACCGACACCCCATGGTGTTGGTACCCAAAACTCCAAAGGGACAGCACCCAAAGCCACGTGTGGGTGACACACACAGCCCTGTGGGAATCCACGCTCAATAGGTTTCGCCTTTTGATGCCCTTCAGCATGGACACAATTGGGACAGGATGCTCCTGACTCCCCGTAATACCCCAAATCCCATCTGCCCCGTACAGGACAGAGCGGGAAGCGACTGGTGTGGTTCGGGGGCCACCTGCTGGGCAGAGGGGACAGTGTCACCCCCAGCTGTCCCTAAAAGACCCACGATGGGAGGAGAACAGGCAGAGGAAATAAAAGTGCTCCCTGCCCTGCTCCCTCTCTAGGGCAAAAGGAACAAAAGCCTGCAGGGTTGGTGGCTCCAATTGGTGGCGGTGGGGGTTGGATGTCCCATTGCCACCTGTGGGGCCGAAGGTGGCAGAGGGGTGTCAGGCTGGGTGCTGGCAGCAGGTGGCACTGGTACGACACGGATCTGCCACCCTGACCTCAAAGACAAAAAAAAACACAAAGAATTTTGGGGAGTTCCAGTAGATTTGGGGCAGCAGCTGCAAATCAAGCCAGGATGGGGGCAAGGGGGACAAGCCACACATGAGACCACGGCCCAATAATGGGGAACTCACATCCCTACATGCATCATCCTACATCCCAATTTCCATCCAACATCAAGCCAAACATCACACATGGGATTTAGGGACGTGGATTTAGGGTTGGTGATGGGTTGAAGATTGGGCCAGATGATTGATCCCAGAGGTTCTTGGTGGTGGGTTGGTGGTTGGACTCCATGATCTCAGCCATCTTTTCCTGCCTCAATGATGATGGGTGGTGATGGGCTGATGGCTGCACTGGGTGGCCACCACAGACGTCTGATGATTCCACAGAAATGCTCAGCATCCAACCCCATGCAGCCCCATTTTCAGTCCTCAACCACCATGATTTATTTTCCATTGGCCAAGAGCTCATCCCCGACACAAAAAATGCCCCAAGGGTGCCATAAATCCCACGGAGCCAATGATGTGGGGCAGAGGACCCCTTCCTGCACGAAGCTCAAGCACCAGGCAGCCTCTGAGGTATATACATATTTTTTATTTTAAAAAAAGTTTACAGTTCTGTCATTATACACAACTACTGGCGAGGTTATACTCTTAGAGAAGAGGCATTTCGTCAGCGGGGGCAGATTTGCCCACTACATCACAACGCAAGAGAGAAAAAAAAATAAAGAAAGGGGGCGGGGAATAAAAAGGAAACAAAGAGAGTTTAGACTCTGTTGGAGGGCGAAACGCCCCGATCTCTTCAAGTATCACACGATAGGTACCAAATACAGTCAGTAAAATAATGGCCATTTCTCACGCTGCGGACACCCCTGCGAAAGTGCTAGTAGAACTTGGGGTGAGCAAAAAGGAAGGAGAAAAGGGGTGAAACACCTCTGACTCTACGTAGGATGGGAAGAAGAGCCTTGGATGTGGGGCGTATGCCCGTCCCAGTCGAGGTTGAGTGGTACTGAGGTGATGGCAAAGCTCTGCTCCATGCTGCCTGCAAAGCAAAGCCATGAGATAGAGGAACGAAGCCGTTGGGGAACTTCCTGTTGACACTGAGGAGTTTCCAAGGATCTAAACTATAGGATGGAGGAGCAAAGCCATTGGGGAAACACGTCCCACTGACTCCAAGGGAAGGTGTTGATGCCACCAAGGAGCTTCCAATGACCAATAGGATGGACGAAGAAAGCCATTGGGGAACGTGTGCCATACAAACCAAGGAGTTTCCAAAAACCACACCTATGGGATGGAGGAGCAAAGCCATAGGGGAACACGTCCCACTGATCCCATGGCACAGCATTGATGACACCAAGGAGCTTCCAACGACCAGCGGGATGCAAGAAAAAAAGACACTGGGGAACGCATCCCACTGATCCCATGGCAGTGCCAATGACACCAAAGAGCTTCCAATGACCAAAGCGATGGGATTGGAGAACAAAGCCATTGGGGAACGCATCCTGTTGACATTGATGAACCTCCAATGACCAAAGCTATGGGATGGAGGAACAAAGCCATTGGGCAACACATCTGTTGACATTGAGGAACCTCCAATGACCAAAGCTATGAGACTGGAGAACAAAGCCATTGGGGTACATGTTCCATTGATCCCATAGCGTAGCATCGATAGCATTAAAGAGCTCCTCATGACCAGAGCTACAAGAAAGCCATGCAGGAACATGTCCTACTGACCCCAAGGGATGGTGATGATGACACCAAGGAATTTCCAGTGATCAACGGGATGGAGGAAAAAAACCCTTGGGGAAGAACACATTCCATGGCGCAGCGTCAAGGACACCAAGGAGCTTCCAATAACCCTGCTGGCACCACAGAGAAGCAAAATCCTCGACAGCCAAAAGGGGAATCGATGGGAGCAGAAGGCAAAGCCTGTTTCCAATTCAGCACCAAGGTTTGGGATGGGGGAGCTCATCTGAGAGCAGGGAGATGGGGGTCGGGGTAGGGCTGGCTGATGCTCCCATCAGTGCAAGAGAGCACGAGGCGATGACAACGCTGTTTTATGAATGCTGATAATGAAAAAAAGAAAAAAACAACCACCCTCAAGATGAAAAAAGAGCTACCCTGCTGCAATAAGGCTCCACCTTTTCCAGTCTACACACGTGGTTTTATTTACAAGCTATTGGGTGGGGCGGAGGGAGGTTTCTTTCAGGAGGAAGACTTGGAAAAAGAGGTGAAAAACGACACAGGAGAAGATGGGGAGGAAAGAAGAGCGGTGCCAGGAGCCCCAGGCAGGGTCAGGGCTGCACCAAGCACGGATCTTTTGGGGAACCTCTGTGAAACCAGTGCTCTGCAAAGCAAACTGAGGGGAGAGCGTGCGAGCGGGATGCACCGAAACAAAGGTGGGAGGGACGGAGCGATGGGGCTAACCTGCAAAAAGAAAGGGGGTGAGGTAATTAGAACACTAGTTTTTATACAATACTGAAAAAATACAAATTTTTATTGTGTTTTTCTTTTTTTTTTTTCTTTTTTTTTTTTTTTTTTTTTTTTGTTTTCTTCTTTTAAATCTGATATCACCACCCAGCACTGACTCTACTCCTAAGTAGCACCTACAGTAAAGGTTATAGCACAAGCAAACTGCTAGGTCAGCAGGTAAGCAAGGTAAACAGTGCCAGCAAATGTGGCCCCTCCCACCCCAAATAATGAGAAAACAGCGTGCTAGATAAGAGTTAAGTACACCATTACATGTTAAATAGTTAATATTACCCTTCCAACAAGCCACAAATGCTAGATAGAGAACTTCAGCACAGTCACTAGCCACAGCCCTACGTTACTGATTTAAAAGAAAAGAAGAGGGTGGGGGGCAAGGAGAAAAAAAGGAAAAAAAAAACCAAACCCTTTGCTTCATGCCCGTAATCAGCATAAATGAAATTCTTTGTATATTTTTATTAAGGAAAATCATGCTAAAGCAAAATGATACTTTATGAGTTCTTTTTCTTCTTCGAAACGAATCGATTGTGCTTTGTATGAATTAGAAATAGGATTGTAACCCTTCCAACCCCGCCGACTCGGAACTCGGTGGCGTTCCCTAAAGGAAAACACGGCTGGGAAAAGCCAAAGGCGCCGACCCGACGTTCAGAACTCTGCTCAGAGCAGCATGGGCTGCATCAGTTCCCATGCACCGTCCCATAGGCTGCGCCACACATCAAAATATCTCACCCAAACCCCTCAGAAATCCCCCCCCCCAAAATACAGCAGGTCACGTTCAGGTTTAATATCCATCTCCACTCCGGTCTCCAACACACAATTATCCAAATTCAAGTATACCAGCATCCCAGGTAGACATTTGCTCCGTTCCTTAGCATCAAAACGAACAAACGCAAATCTCAGCTTGCTGAAAAACACCCGAAGAAATCAAATATTTCATTTGTCAAAGAAAAAAAAAAGTATATATATATATATCAGGAAAAAAAAAAAAAAAGAAGAGCAGATTCACTTGCTTCCTCAATTTGGTGCTTTTAGGCTTTTTTTTTTTATTATTATTATTCATCCCATTTTTTTTTTATTTTTTTTTTTTTCCCTAGATCACATTCTTTGTTAACTTTAAGAAATTTTAATCCTGTTGCACACACACAAGCAGATGGCTACCAAGCTGGTGCAGAAGGGGAGAAAAAGGAAAATAAAATGGGTGCCGATGGATTCGTGGACCGCAGCCAATAGGGCCGATCTCCGCGGATCCGAAGCTCTCAGCACGGCTCATCCATCTGCTCAGAGCCCTCCCAGGAGATGGAGGTGCTGGCGAGGTGTTCAAGCATCCTTCAAGCAAGAGAAAAAAGCCAAACTTGGAGCCACGAAGAGCAGCAGTTTCAAAAAGGATGACGAAGTAAGAGTTGGGCTACGCACGTGCTCCAGCTAAACCAAAGAGCATTGTTTGTGTTTCATTCCTCCCGGCGAAGGAACAGCTCGTAATCCAGACCGAAAGAATAACATCCAGATGAAGGCTCCCAAAAGTCCCAAAAGTGGATGGATGGAGCAGTGGTTGTCAGTCCCTACGGTTCAGAAGGGCAGGCAGGAGTCCACATTATTAAAAACGGACTGAAAATCCCAGTCTAAACTCTTCAGCTTCAAGGCTCTGAGGAGCTCCATGCATTGGTGCTGGTTCTGTCAAACGTTTTAAATGTGACTCCGCATCCAAAACCATCGGCGAGGTTGACCTGAAGGAGCACCTTTCATCCCACTGTCTGATCTGTGCAGTTCATAGCACATCCCCTCAGATTGATCTGAAGGGAAAACGCTGTTCCATGTGAGCATCCAAGGTGGTGTTCTTTGGAAACATCGATCGGAAAGCAAACCTCTTTGCTAACTCCCTACCTACCAGGGCAGCTGTTTGAGCTGACAGTTCAGTAGCACACAAGTTTGACTTGGCCAAATGGAATCTGAATGCATGCATTTGGGCTGCATATTGCTACCAAAATGGAATGTGGGAATATGCTATGCACCTCGGGTTGAGAAATGACCAAGAAAAAAAAAAAAAATCAAGATCTAAAGGGTGATATATATATATATATCAATGCTATTATTCATAAAAACCTTGTTTAGTAATAAAAAAAATTGCTTTGTTTAAATATGAATATTATAGTCTGCTTCTCATGGTTAGGAAATTAGAGTCTCTCTGAAAAGCAGGTTGCCTCTTTTACTACAACTCCATATCCTGAGCCTCGTCTTCCGAGAAGTCGGACATGGAGCTCTCAGACGAGCTGTCCCCGGTGCCTTCTTCCTGCTCTTTTAGTGCTTCTTCTGTTGCATATTTCTGAATGTATTCTGTGTGTGACAGAAAAGAGAAAACGGGTAAGCAGCACGTATTCAGCAGTTAGAGGATGGCTTCAGACCGGTCGGGCAACACCGTGTTTGGTCAATCTCCAAGTATAGCAGTAATGGTAGGATAATCGACAGCAGTGCAGACAGAGCACTGATCCCAGGGTTACCACGTTCCTCTGGTTCACAGCAGCACTGCCCAGCAGTGAGATGTGAAAATGCTCAGCAGTGAGGGTGCAAACACACGCCATCTCTGTGCTACTACATCACACTCATAGCTAGAAACAACCTAAATCCTCCCTTGGATGGTTTAGCTCACGTTCCACTTCCTGCTAAAATGGGAGATTCTGTGTTGATCTGGAGAACAAGTTTGAATGCCATCCAGCCACCACCACTATTCTGTAAGTTGTGGATGCCTTTCCAATTGAACCATTCTATGACTGTGAGGCTTAAGGTTCCTCCCAACCCAACCCATTCCGTGACCTTTAAGGACCCTTCCAATATAGTCCACCCTATGGATCTTTAAGGAC